ACACACACACACACACACACACACACACACACACACACACACACACACAGGCCAACTTTCCTTTTGTGCCCAACAGAAATGACTTCAGGAAAGAATGAATGAGGCACTGGGAGAGGAAATGTCTCTCCACAAACTGATTTTTCTTTGTTTTCTTAATGATGACCCTGTCACCGAGCACTAACGTGTGACAGTGTGTGGATTTAAAATTTGAGGATTTTACATTTGTGCCTTCTAAATGAAGACAGACATCCCCCCTGCTTTGTTCCTCTTGTAAATGGCTCTATTCGATGGTGACAGCAGGGGTAGAGAAAAGGAGAGGAAGGGAAATGACATGAATTGAACCGTGGCCGTTGCATTAGCCGCAACGTGACCAGGACACCCGCCTGTTGAATACATATTTTAACTCTATTTGAAACATGTCTAGCTGGAAAACATTGGAGTCGTTCTAACAAGGAGTCTTGTCACAGCCAGTATGGACAGGAGAAATGAAACAGCCACCAATAACTCTTCAACATAAATTCTTGTTGTCACTGTCTCTGAGAGGTGTTGATTGAACTCTTCTTTATGCCGGAGGTCTCTACATCTAATTGGTCACACACACATTTCTCGACACCTTTACCACAACACTCTTCACACAGGTCTCGTATAGCTCCACAACGCATTACCGGGTAGTTTAACTGGTAATAATACAATCATTTATTAGTTAATTTTATGTTTGCAAAGCAACGAACATTTTGAATGAATTTAGTGGAGTATGAAAGCACAACATTTCCCTATATTCTCTATAAATATAGAGTATCAGAAAATGGAAATACTATGGAATAAATGGAAAAGTAAAGTAGCCTACAAGTACCTCGCAATTGTACTTAAGTAGCTGCCTGAGTAGATATAGTTACATTCTACCACTGTATAGAGCATATTGTTAAAATGTTATTACTGATGCTTTAACACATAAGATGCATTTTAATGTTATTGTTATTGAGCTAAAGTTTCTCCTTGTTGAATCATTATTGCCAATAAAATATTATTATCAAAATCCCCCTGGATTGATGTGATTAGCAACCGCATTTTCATTGAAAACATCTCAAACAATTTAATATTTATAATCAGAAGACTTTGCACCATTAAAGGGTTAATTTCCATGGTTTCATACTGAAAAACATTAGATTTCATATATCTATAAATATCTAACTTCTATAAACATCCTGTTCTTCACAGTTTGTTCACTGACATCGTTATATTGATCTTTTCTTCCTCCTGTGGATGGTACATCAGCAGCAGCAGCAGCTCACCTTTTCCACCCACCTCCAGGCACTATGAGCATCATCAGAGCCCTACTCGCATTTACACACAAGTTCACATGATTAAACCCACACTTTGCTCAGAAGTGATCACACCCTCAGTTGATGAACAATTCTGTTCCTAAGCAACTGATCCTCTCCATGTGTGTGGTTTGCATGTTCTCTCTCTGTGTCTGCGTGGGAAATCCTCCCGGCGCTTTCACTTTCCTCCCACAATCCACAGACATGCAGCTCAGCTGGAGTGAACACTTTAATTTACCCCTACGAGTGAGTATGAGGGCGAGTAGGTGGATGCATGGGTATATGAGTGTGGGTGAAAGACTCCATCCCTTTGTGACAACTAATATGGAAATAAATGGTGGAATGACGAATGCTCAAATGTTTCATGCAGCATTTCTCTTAATGACCCCTCCATTTTTCTTGCATCTGTGTACCGGGGATAAGAAAAGGTATATCCCCCAAGAAAATGTATAAACGTTGCCCCTCTGTATGGCACAACAGAGCCGGTCTAAAACCCAAAAGGTCATCAATGAGGGAGCAGGCTTTGCTCAGTAAATCTCATGGTAATCTGCCAGTTAGATATTTATTGTTTTGAGGACATGGTGGCACTGGTGGAAATGTCACAGGGGGTCAACAGTATATTTAGGAATCCTCCTCTCGGGACCATGTCAGGGACATGCATCTTTGCCCTCTTCCTTATATTGCTGGTGTTATCGCTCGACTGCTTTGTCTGGTCTGATATTTCTATTGCGAGCTCCTGTGTTTATTTCAATTTTCTATGTACTGTGTATCCTTGCATTTTCTGCTATCTGTTGGCATAGTAAGAGATAATTAAAGATACAAGTAACGCAAATAGTCAAGAACATACATATAAAAGGAAAAATATCTCTGTTTTTAAAATGAAAGCTGTGCAGTTTTGTGCAGGAATCTGCAAAAAATCACAGAATATTGTACGGAGAATATGTGCACTCAAGTGCTGTGTTTGTGGTGAGAGGTTTTGGTTGTCCGTGGTGAGTGACTCAATAGTCTGTGTCTGAGGGGGAGGGATATACAGAATCTTTCCTGCCTACCTCAAGGACCTGGAGGGATGGTGCAGACAATCACCCAAACAACAATCAGTAATTTCTGCATGCAATTTAAAAATTTAAAGTCATGAATTATTCATTTGTGTGAACTTTTTTTTTTTCTCTCCATAAAATCTGCCATTATCTGTAGAAAAGGGAGATATTTTGATATATAAATACAACTTTATTTTACATGTTGACTATTATGAAGCAAAACACCAGGGCAATTTCCCTGTATGTGAAAACTTACTTGGAAATAAACCTTATTCGGATTCTGGATACGTGCCCTTGAATTACTTTATTTGTGCAGGGGAGGGGGGTAATTGAGCCACTTCCCATTTCATTGTCTGTGCATGTCCCTGCCAACCAGACCAGCATGGCAGTCTGGCCAGTAGGAGGGATCTGGTGCTCTTGACCCAAGTGTAGGACAGACTGCTAGATGGAGCCAGCAACTATCACCATCCTCAGGATCTGCTGCTGTTACTGTGGCACGTTAAAGACACACTCATTCTGGATGGTTTTGTCCTCTGACTGTCCTCTTCCATGTTTTAATAGTCAATGATGTTGTGACATTTCCTGTTTGTTCTGCTGTTGACGTTCCTCTCTTGTTGTCTTGAGCCTGGAGGCTTTAGTGTTTGTTAAGCTACAGAACATATCTCCCACTCTTGCTCTATCTCACCCTCCACTATCAATTATATTAACAGCAGCCTGAAGCTTCCTCCTAGCATGTTGCTCATGTCGTGACAGGAAACGTTATGGCCTCTTACACCATTGTATTGCACTGGTAACAGAGCTGACTCTCTATTTCACTCCAGGCTTTGCCCTGCGATCCAATTTGTCTTTCCAACACCGGCCATTTTTGTTTCTGGTGACAATGAAGTATTTTCATGGCCGTGCTGATGTCATCACATTTCAGTTTGTCCCTCATCTCCCAGGGAATAGTGAAATAAACTATACAACACAATGGAAAGGATGGATATTCTGCAGTCAACTTGAGGCCAATTTTCCCTAACATGAGTTGGCTTTTGTTTCTATCCAGTAGATCTACAAATGAATGATCTGCCAGCATCCTTTAAGAAGTATGTTTTCCAGCTTTCTTCCACTCATGTTAATTATGTATTACCATCAAGAAGCTGCATGGTGGAGTCATGTGGTATGCCAAGTTTACCTAATTGACACAAAGGCCAAAAATAGCACATCGGGCATTCCTATGCTAATAGTGTGTCATATTCAAGCCCCTATGCACTTTATAACCACACACCATGTGAATCCACCAGAGAGACACAGGCCTTAAATGATAAATCGATTTAAGTGAGCAGCTCAGGCTGAAATACATTTGACAGGCAGTAGCAACTCATGCATGCAGCCCGGGGCTTTGAGCTTCCCGCAGGGACTGTGGAGAGAGACTGGGGTTGAATGTCTTTGTGTGCACGGAGAGTGTGTTTGTTTAAGCTGCTCAACTGAAGGTATTTCTATGCATTTGAAATCTTTAGTCAAATCATAGTTGTTGGAATTTGTAACAAAGTAAAATGCTATGTCTATCTTTAATTAATACTTACAAGTCCATATGTAGGCTACATCAAAAGTGTCAGGAACAGTCCCTATGCAATAAACAGCCACTGTACCAGTAAATTATATATTTTATAGTTTACATATTTAACATGTAGATATCTATCAAATATGAATCTAAGAACGATGTATGCACTATATATAGAATCATATCCACCAACCTCATGTATAAAACAACCTTTTACATTAATCATTACATTACCCTTTGCAGTCTGTACCATTGCATTAATGTCTTACTGTTTACAAATTCCATTGTTGGTTATATATTGTAATTACTGGAGGATACTTACAAGGTGCATCTCACATGTAAGTATATTTTATTTCGATTATTAGGATTTCCAGTTGCATTATTGGACTTATTTTGCACATATATTGCACAAATATTTAATATTTCCACAATTTATTTATATCGTTGAGTGTTTTTGTAACTTATAAACAGATGTTTATGTAATTTCTTTATTGTGTACTATTTCATTTTCTACTTATTTATATAATTAGGTAGTTCCTTTTGCCTGTCTCTGCTTTTGTTACATGTGATGCTCACGCTAAATATAGTCTTATCTTATATTTTAATTTTAGTTTGTTTAAATGCTGTTTTTATTCTGAAGGACATAGTGTGGGAAGCTTCTATTTTGAAGGGGTGTTGCTGCCGGCGGAAGTAGCGGATGTACGTCATGGCTGAAGGTCCCGAACCACTAGCTAGCTAAACTTTCGCTTTCCCTCTGCTAAACAAAGTGAACATGGCGACGTTTTTCGGTGAAGTTCTGTCGGTGTATTCTCGGGCCGTGGAGGAAGACGAGGAGGAGCTCGACGAAAACGAAGAAGATGAAGAAATCCGCAGAGAACTGGAGGAAAAGAGGTAACAATTAGATAGCATTAACCTGCTAGCATGCAGTCAGGAAAGCATGGAAATATTAGATTAGCTAAATAACGGTTGACAGGTTTTATCATGTGAAGTGAATTACGGAAACTTCTGTTTGGACGTAAAATTATATTTGGCTCTCATACACGCAATTGCAAAGTAACTAACTAAGTTAGCATCATACAGAAGCTCAAGCTAGCTAACATGACACATGACATTTCAGTAACACCCACTCCTCCATATTTTTAATATCAACGTTACTAAACATTTAATTACACTAGCTAATGTAGGGATGAAGTGTTTGGCTCATATACAAATGCTGGGGACATCTTCTGACCCAAACAGAGCAAGTCAAATATCTTTAAAAACTATTTATTATGATTCAAGGACTAAATTATGTTATTATGCAAATCAGGATTGCACAACAATATGTACACATACAGAAAATGTATAAACAGATATACAAAAATACTTGAGTTATATTAGATTATAAACAATAAGATGGAACAAATTATATCACCGCTCTGTTTAATGCAGTTCAACGGCACCACAAAGGACCGCCTCCTAAATTATCACACAGTTGAAACAACAACTCTCTGACACACAAAGTACTTGATTCAAGGAAGGTACATTGGTTATCTGCAGGTACCTGCATCCTAGATGAAGAAAAAAAATCTTCAAAGTATTTAGTTGTAAAGTATTTTCCCACAACTGTTCCTCCCTCTCTAACCCACATCCCTTATTCACCAGGGAGGTTCATCTGCACTGGAGCCCTGAGGTCTCTGAGTCGCTGAAGTCCGGAAACAAGTTGCAGTGCTCCGACTTCCTCCTCGCTGTGGGACACAACGCTACCAGTGAGTGGCTGCCAGCAGCTGTATGCTACATTACCTGTTATGAGTCTAACAGAACACCAGATATTATTACCCATCAAATGAAACTTTAATGTTCCCCGACAGGAAATTGAAACGTACAGTAGTCCAGTGACACGGGTTTCAAGGAATGTGTTTACATCTTCTTCTTTTAAGACAATACGCTCAGTAACGAGCAAATACTTTGATTGGTAATAAACACAATTTGTTAAACATTATAATCTCTACAAATTGTTTAACCTACAGGCGCTATTAATATGAATAAAAGCTACTTAACTGCTTCAACATGTGTTATGCACTGTTGGTGCTTATGATTATTACGCTGATTATGGCCTCAGTCTGTTCAGTTTGTCAGTAAACCAACAGGATGTAAAAGTTAATTAATTTAGTACCAGTTAATATAGCCCCCCCCCTCCCTATATGATGTATCACATCCCCCAT